TCCAGCATTTTCTCTATCATGAATACTAAATCATCATACACAAGCAGAGTTATGAGTGACACATTAGATTTGCAATACTTAAAGGAAAACTTCAATCTTCCTCTTAAAGGGTGTTGATTGTCTCCATTTGGATGTGCTAAAATCTCAGCCATCCTCAGCCATCCCTTGATACTTTATCCCACAGCCAGAATGGGAATTTATTGAAGCCTAGCCGTCACTAACACTTGATCCCACGACTAAGATGGGAATCGTGGGAGGCGAAACTTGGATCATACCAATCTCTGTTAAATCCAAGTCGTCCCTTAACACTTGATCCCACAGCCAGATAGGAATCCATGGGAGGCTTACCTCAATCACGTTGATCTCCTTCCATATTTGGGTGGCTAATTTAGGAAGGATTATATTAAGGAAATTATACATGATTATGTAATTATCTGTTTCTTTATTAAGATTTCAAGTATAGATCTATAAATATGAATAGTTTTGTCTAATAAAATTAAGCTTTTTCCCTCTCCAATTCTCTGGATTTAACATGGTATCCGAGTTTTCATCGTCATGGCCGGAATTTTGCATTTTTTTAACTGTCGAACTTTATGAAGGGAAGGCCATGCAGAAGGCCGGACCTTCCCTTCAAAAATGAAAGGGAGTGAGTTCCGGCTTATTCGTTCATGCGTACATCCAACTGAGAGGAGGGAGAGTGCTTCATCCCACGGTTTCTGCATCCGATCTAGAAAGAAGAACATCTCGTGAACCCCTCTTGTGTGCATGAGATTGAATAGGATGAGAGAGGCGTGTTGCCAAAACCAAGTGAAATCGTACATCCTTGAAGCTTGTTGCTTGCATTAGCCGCCTCTCGCGTGCATCTGGAGGGGAACCGAGAGGAGCCAAACAAGAGCTTATGTCTGGACGAGAGACCATACGACTACACATGACGAGATATAGTGTGTCTGGATAGTTTTCATTTCTCCCCAAAATTTCTGGTGTCCTCCACATCTACATCAAATCTTACTAGCATGCATATCGCCACAAGTTCACACCATCGACCTTCATTATTGGAATTATGATGAATACATGTTCCTATCATCGACCTTCATTATCAAAATTCTGAGGAATATTATTCCTTCCATCAACCTTCATTATAGGAATTCTAAGGAATACATGTTCCCACAATTAGCCTTTATTGTTGGAATTATGAAGAAAATATATTCCCACCACTGGCATTCATTACCAAAATTCCGATGCTACATATTCCCACCACCATCCTTCATTACTATAATTATTAAGAATATAGATTATCATTGCCATAATTCTGAAGAATACCGCCCCTTCTACTGACCTTCATTGTCAAAATTCTAAGAAATATTTGTCCTTATGATATATTTGTGTGTCCCAGACCGAGGAGAGATCGAGAGGGAGGGCACCACATGCATGTAACGTTTAGAGTCGACCAAGACCTTCTCTTGCATGTGTTTGGAAAGAGCCGAAAGTTGCCTCTCATGTGGGGGCAAGACAAGAAAGAGTGCAAGACATGCACTCTCTTCTACAATCAAACCAGAGGGATCAGAGGCCTTTTGTGCACCTATATTGACCAATTAAACATGAGTCAGTTCTGGTGGAGTCAGACGACCTAGGAAGGAGGAGATCAATGTGCGGAATACCAAGTCGCTTGAGACATGTGTTTCTACTTCTATCCTTGAAGCATGTCGCAACCCTAAAAATATTTTTTTTTCCCTTTTCTTAATGTTGTGCCTTTATTGTCAACCTTCCATTGAGGACCTAGAGGGAGATAGGCCCGAAGAATAATTAATCCACTTTCCCCTATGTCCCATCACTGGACTTTTTTGTCTTTTTCGATATCTTGAGAGCTACTGTTCAATGCAGGAGGATCATGACTCACAAACTCACCCACTCCTACTTGGCATTATCAAGCTACATAAACAAATCAACTTGATTCAAACCTAGTAAAAAGGTTTATATATATATATATATATATATATATAAAGTGTTTGTAAAATTTCAATTTATGAGTAATGTATATGAAAGACATAAAGAGGCTAATGTTAAAATTAAATATTAGTAGCTAAAGTCGAGTGATGAAAGCCTGATATGAACGCTAGCTGCGCACCTTTCTATTTAGGATAATTTAGCTAAGGGAGCGTAGCGGTGCAATTCATAACAACGCTAAAGGAGTGCCGCATCACTGTGTCAAAAATGAGATATTTATTTTTCATATATTAAAAGAATTCTATTATATCGTATTCCCCCAATATTCTACTACTGGAGAAGGAACAAAATATAATAGAGAGCTTGTGCAGGATAACGTAAGGAACTGGGATGCATGTAGACCTCTTTTTCACAATGGAACAAAATACAAATAAATAAATTACAATTCGATTCTTCGCCATCTATTTTCTTTGGCATATTGTTTTTCAAGCTGAGATCTCCATTGGAGCTTATAAATACTAAAACCAAACAATTAATCCGTGCATCTTATATGTTACAATGTTCCATGCAGCAATTTGATGAGGAAGATAACAAAAGACCCGACTCTTCCAATTCTGAGTTTTTTGCAGATAAAAAAAAAAGCAAAACACATAAATATAATAATATAAATACATTTCTCTGGAAATCTACAAATGGTCCGTCTTCAACAGGAATTTCTGGTGCTAAAAGAGCTTTATTCTCGTATGAATCTCACATCGGCAAATCTGGACATGTTTTGAAGATTCGGTCCACAATCACAAGCATGTCTACAAAGGAAAGATAGAGCAGAGATGGCACCATTAATCTTCAGAATAAGAACAGCAAAAGTAGAAAAGCAGATAGAGCGCTGATGGCTTTTCACCTGATGCCCACAGCCGAACGCCATATCCTTGGGGTTTGTTAGGCATACTGGACACACCTGCCCAAGAAACAAGGATATGAAATTGATTCTAAACTAGTTCTATTAACCAAAATGTCACACCGGCTGAATCAACTCCTGTACCTAAACATTCCCAGGTTCATAAGAATGCTGTTTGGCCATTTTTCATATATCTAAGACACATAGTCACGTATCTGGATGGATATGACACGATACGGACACGGGACACGTCAATTCTTAAAAATTACAGGATTCGGGTACGGCACAGACACGCATTATAATTTATAAATCATACAAAAATTAAGAAAGCAATCAAAGCATAATATTTGAAATGACAAAAAAAAATAAAAGCAACATCATTTGTAGCCCTGTAGCTTATAATATCAAAATAAAAGCAAGCATTGAGTCAAGGGAAGAGTTAAAACTTATTGCCTAATAAGAATTTTGTGGCATGAATCCACTAATTATGTTGTTGCATTGATTTGGTGGCATATTCACTAATTAAAACCTTTTTTTTCTTTTACATTTAAGAAGACATACAAACCACAATAACATGATTTTTTTAATACGAACAACAACTACAAGCCTTTATCCCACTACGTGGGGTCGGCTATATGAATCCTTGTCTCCATTGTGGTCCTATTAAAAGTCCATATTCTGTGTTTAATCTAATAAAGAAAGTCATTTCCTAATATTTTCTAACTTTTAAACAAGTCTTTTTAGGTTTGTCTCTACCTTTCTATTAATATTAAGTCAAATCTAAACACCTCTACTCTCCTTAACGGGGTCATCGGAAGGCCTGTTGTTTAAACATGAATAAAAAATCAAAGCAATTACAAGTGCAAAATAATTGATGCCTATATCATATTATATAGTCTATACTATCAATGTTAAATGGCTCGCGGGTTTGAAAATGAGATAACCTCGCCGCAGCCGCGGAAGTAAATATGACGCACTTTTTGGTTTTCGTCTTTCAACGAACACGTGTATCCGAATATGCTATTCCTTTTGATATTAAAATAGTATTTTAATTGGATACGGTTTTGTACTATATCCGACCTACGTGTGCGCCGGTATCGTACATGTATCGTGTCCACACGTTATCCGATACAGCATGCCGTCATAAATAGTGATCGGCTGCAACATAGTCTAAGCATTTCTCTAATATCTATCATGTCTCCGGATGTTTCAAATGGAACATAAAAGAAGCTAAGGTTAAATTAAAAAATACTAGCTAAAGTCGAGTGATGAAAGCCTTTTAGGAATGCTACAGCGCAACCCTTTCTATTTAGTATAATTTAGCGAATGGAGCGTAGCGGTGCTATGCATAACAACGCCAAAGGAGTGCCACATCAATATATCAAAAATGAGATATATTATTTTTTAATGTACTAAAATTATTTTCTAAATCCTATTTCCCCAACATTCTATTGCCATAGAAGGAACAAAGGAGAGAGAATGAGAGAGAAAAGAGAAAGTGTCTAGATTTCAAAAATAGCGGTGAGAGATTCATTCATCAAACCTGCTAAGAAAAAAATTCTGCTCAAGATAGACTCCCAATATCCTACTTCTGATTTCATTCTCAACATTTGTACAAGTAGATATTAAATAAAATGTGATTTTCTCAAGTTTAAAAAACTTTTCACCATTGCTGAGCTAATCCTGTTCAGCTTGTCGAGCATTTCTCCCACTGAAATGAGAAATGCTATTCTTTGTCTATTCAGCACTCACCTGCATGCCTATAATTTCAATAGAGCTTATGCAGGATATATGTAAGGGAACTGTGATGAAGTAGACCTGTTTTTCACAATGGAACAAAATATACAAATACATAAATTAAAATTATATTCTTCGCCATCTATTTTCTTTGGCATATTGTTTTTCAAGCTGAGATCTCCATTGGAGCAATTTATTGACTAAAGAACCAAACAATTAATCCGTGCATCTTATATGTTACAATGTTCCATGCCAGCAATTTGATGAGGAAGATAACAAAAGACCGACTCTTCCAATTCTGAGTTTTTTGCAGATAAAAAAAAAGCAAACACATAAATATAATAATATAATACATTTCTCTGGAAATCTACAAATGGTCTGTCTTCAACAGGATTTCTGGTGCTAAAAGAGCTTTATTCTCGTATGAATCTCACATCGGCAAATCGGACATGTTTGAAGATTCGGTCCACAATCACAGCATGTCTACAAAGGAAGATAGAGCAGAGATGGCACCATTAATCTTCAGAATAAAGAACAGCAAAAGTAGATAAAGCAGATAGAGCGCTGATGGCTTTTCACCTGATGCCCACAGCCGAACGCCATATCCTTGGGGTTTGTTAGGCATATTGGACACACCTGCCCAAGAAACAATGAAATGAAACTGATTCTAAACTAGTTCTATAACCAAAATGTCACACCGGCTGATCAACTCCTGTACCTAAACATTCCCAGGTTCATAAGATGCTGTTTGGGCCATTTTTCATTATCTAAGCACTATGTTGCACTGATACGGACACGGTGACACGGATATGACACGATACGGACACGGGACACGTCAATTCTTAAAAATACAGGATTCAGGTACGGCGCGGACACATCATTATAATTTATAAATCATACATAAAACTTAAGAAAGCAATCAAAGCATAATATTTGAAATGACAAAAAAAAAAAAAAGCAACATCATTTGTAGCCCTGTAGCTTATAATATCAAAATAAAAGCAAGCATTGAGTCAAGGGAAGAGTTAAAACTTATTGCCTAATAAGAATTTTGTGGCATGATTCCACTAATTATGTTGTTGCATGATTTGGTGGCATTATTACACTAATTAAAACTTTTTTTTTTTTACATTTAAGAAGACATACAAACCACAATAACATGATTTTTTTAATACAACAACAACATCAAGCCTTTATCCCACTACGTGGGGTCGGCTATATGATCCTTTTTCTCCATTGTCCTATTAAAAGTCATATTCTCGTTTAAATCTAATAAAGAAAGGTCATTCCTAATATTTTCTAACCAAGTCTTTTTAGGTATGTCTCTACCTTTCTTAATATAAGTCAAATCTAACACCTCTACTCTCCTAACCGGGTCATCGGAAGGCCTCCGTTTTAATACATGAATAAAAAATCATAGCATTACAAGTGCAAAATAATTGATGCCCTAATATCATATTTTCTAGTAAACTAACATCAATGTAAATGGCTCGCGGGTTTGAAAATGAGATAACCTCGCCCGCAGCCGCGGAAGTAAATATGACGCATCTTTTTTTTTTGGATTTTTTCGTCTTTCAACGGACGCGCGTATCCGAATATGCATGTCCTTTTGAAATTAAATAGTATTTTAATTGGATACGGCTTTGACATATCAGATGCGTATCGGTGCCGTATCGTACATGTATCGTGTCCGACACGTATCCGATACAACACGCCGTCATAAATAGGTGTATCGGTGCAACATAGTCAAAGCATTTCTCTAATATCTATAATGTCTTGGATGTTTCAAATGGAACACATTAAGTCGTTAACGCTACATACCTTATCATCAAATGAGGAAACCTGAGCAGGTGGGGGTGTGCTTGGTCGAGGCTCATATGAGGGAAGGAATGGCTCACTTCGTTGGAAAGCGGTCGAATGAAAATTTTTGTACCCAGTGGATGATACACTGAAAGCTCCTATAGGTGGAGGAAGAGCGACCATTTCTGGAGATTTACCGCTCCTGCGACTGCACAAACATGCAAATGTGAATCACAAACCACTTACGAGGACTATGCAAAATTATTTTTTAAAGTAACTATTTCAAACCCCGATATCCCATGATCCAATGTTGCATTGTATTGCGAAGGAATTTCCATCAGAGCAGCAAGAGCAAACTCCGTATCTTTTCTGGTCTGATCTATGTTCTTTGACATGATTTCAGTGAAATTCACAAACTGTAAAAAATGCGTCAAGAAATTTTTTTTTTCTTTTGGGAAGTATAAAAAAAGACTTGGTTAGAAAATATTAGGAATGACCTTTCTTTATTAGATTTAAACGAGAATTTGGCTTTTAATAGGACACAATGGAGAAAAAGGATTCATGTAGCCGACCCCACGTAGTGGGATAAAGGCTTAATGTTGTTGTTGTTGTTGTTGTTGTTGGGAAGTATAAAAAAAGTGATACAACTTTTAATAAGAAATGCTTTAATCCTTGTTTTTTTTCAAATGAAGTACTTGCCTGGAAATTATCAAAAGATCTTGCCGGAATATTGTCATCAAACTCTTTCATCATGTCCCAAGGCCCATCTCCAACTCCAACCAGGATGATAGATAAAGGGAAATCACTACAGTGCAAAGAATAAGGATATATGTATAAAAAAATGTGTTGCTAAATGATATTATAAGAGTATTGATGAGTGATGAATGCTAATTCTCAGCTAATATGACCTCAGGTAAAGTTTTTGATTGGATGGAATCAACTAAATTAGTTTACAGAGGCACCTAAATAATTGTTTTGTTCATCTTTTAACTAAAATATATGATGCAAAATGAACAGAATGCATGAGGAAAAATAGGGGTGTCAATTTGGGTTAACGGGACGGGTTCGGGTCCAACACGAGTTGACTCGGGCATAAACGGGTTGACCCAAACCGGACCCGTTTAGCTAAACGGGTCAGGATTTTTAACCCGGCCCCGACCTGTGCGAGTAACCGGGTTGACCCAACTCGACCCGAGAACTCGCGGGAGCAATCGCTGAGTCGCAACTCACACAGGCGTAGCAGCGTAAAGCCTGGCCGGCGTGGCTGCTGGGCGACTTGGCGAGGTCGACTAGTCGATGCGGAACAGCCTGTGTAGCTGCGTTGGGTCGAACCCTAGCGCGGTCGAGCTAAGTAGCACGGTCGAGGTCAAGCGAAGGAGCGGTCTGCAAGGCTACGCCACTGCGGCTAGGTGACTAGCGAGGCGAAGTGGCGGAGCGTTTGAGCGGCCTGCACAGTGCCATGACGGCCTGACGCGACGGCAGCTGGGCGACGCTGCTAGACGCGACGGCCTGACGGACTCGACAGCGACATAGCGCTGGCATGACCCGACAGATCAAATTTCCAGGTCAAACCGGGTTGACCCGCGGGTTGTCAAGTCAACCTGAACCCAACCCATTTTTCAAATAGGTTAGAAATTCGAACCCGGATCCGACCTGCTTCACAAATGGGTTTCGGGTTGTCTCAAAAATTGACACCCCCAAGAAAAATGCACATAAACAAAGATTAGCAAATGATGGAGAAACTCACCTTGCTTTAACAATCGAATCAACAGTTTTCCTTTCCTGGGAGCTGAACTGGCCGAACTCAGTATCAACGCTTCTTGTGACCTTGGCCAACAATCACATCAATATTATGGAAGACAAAAATAGAAAAATACAAGCAAAGAAAATATGAACGACATACAAAAAATTCATAACTTAGAAAAAGAAAGAGTGAACAAAAAAAGCACGAAAACAAATAATTATGCTTATTTTTCAATATTCTTCTTGTTTATTTATACAAATCAGAGACGGATATATTTAGGTAGTACTGTAGTAGTGTTAGAGGTTGAGACCAACAAGCAGAACACTTGAACCATACCCAACAGAGCCTACAAATGCAGAAACTTGTCCAAATAAGCTACGAAAAGAATATTGGGTACCGTTATCTTATTCAAATTATTTGGCATTACGTATAGATACCAATAAAATGAAGGGTATTAATACTGCTCATATTCAAATTCATCACAATACTCGAGTCCTTGAAGTGTAATTGTTCATCATATACTGTTTTGTGATAGCACTTCATAAGCCTGCATCACATTTAGCATTACCAGTCATAAATTATGGAGCTTGAGTATGGCTTAATACAATGCAACACAATTACCAATGGAACAATAATAGAGGGGAAAAACAGCAATGCCTTTTCTACAACTACTTTCCTTCCCACCCTTTTTTTTCTGTTCTCATTTTTCATTAAGCACCTACTCCATGTTCTTTTCTCCAGATTTGGTTCCATGCCCATTAAGCTTTTGAATCCTTGTTAGAAACACGGTGTGCGATAAGGGACAAAATGGTCATTCTTAATCAATGTCATAGACATAGGCTTCGTTTGACACAACTTTCTTAATGCTTCTTAAAGTAGCTTTTTAGTATAAAAATTAAATTTTTTTACAAGAAAGCTGCTTTAAAAAATAATTAGAAAGTCGTCCCAAACGAAGCCATAATAACTAAAGTCAGGTTCAGCTGACAAAGCATTCAGTTTACAGTGGGGTATTAGTGCTTCATTGTTAAAATGTAGACAACGGGAAGGATGGTAATGAAGCCACCATGATGGCTTTTTTCATTTTTTTTTTTCCTTTTTCATGCAGTCCTGTCTCCTTGGAAGATATGGGAGAAGGAATAATGGTTGTGAATATTATGTGAAAGATGTAATTCATTATATTTTTGCAGTATGTACGGAAAATTTCTTATCTACAGATACATCATTCCACTCTCTCTTCCACCAAGTTCAGCAACAAGGACAGCTACGCAACCTCCTCTTAAGTTAGTGGCTATCCTGCAGGCAGCCATGAGGACCCTTGCGAGGGAATACTCATACCATTAACGAGTCCTCCAGCAGTGATGTCATTTGTAGTGTGTACTGTCTTTGATGTCATAAATGTCAAGGTGGGAGACTAAGGCTTCGTTTGTATAATAAAAAAGCCGTCCCAAACGAAGCCTAAGTCACAATGTTTTGGGCAGAGCATGTCAAAATAAATTCAATGTGTGTAGGCATATGTGTATTTTATACACACATACACACATATAAATAAATAAATAAATATATATATATATATATCGCACACAGAGATAAAAACACACAGAGAGAGAGAGAGAGAGAGAGAGAGAGAGAGAGAGAGAGAGAGAGAGAGATGTCAACTTATTTCTTCAAAAGGCAATTGGTGGGTGATCAAATTCTATCAGATTGTTTTTTAATCAGGTATCGATCAGCTTTATGAGGTAACAGCTATTAGCTGTTAGTACCATTCTTCACGATTTTCAGAGGGCTTCTTGTACATTACCTCTCTTCCGAGGAAATTAAAAATTAGTATTATCCTGTTAATCAAGTCTTACAAAACTTTTAATAATAACATAAAGAGTATCCTCTGTGCAAGACATCAGAGAAAGCAACACAAGATATTGGGCCTTCCCAAGGATTTTGACTTTTACATGCCAAAAGAAATAAAAAATACTCTCCTACATTACAATAGTCCTTTTCAAGTCAACCTAATAATATTATTGGAGTAAAAGCTCGAAATAGTCCCCTGACTATTGATAAATGCTCAAATTAGTCTCAGAGTTTCATATTGCCCCAATTTAGTCTCTCGACTATTAAAAATTGTGCAATTTGGTTCATGGGTTAAATTTGCCATTTAAATTAACGGAAAAAGCTGGAGAGCTTCGCATCTTTCTGGGCATTTAGGTAAAATTACTTGTTACATGCTCGCTCATCTTCCCGCTATATGCCCTGGAGACTGAATTGTGCGAGGGAGAAGTTGCAAACAAAGCGACGCAAGCAATGTGTGCAAGCAGGCTGCAAGGGAGACTGTTAGAACGGTCCAGTCGATCAGACGGGACCGGCTTACGCGAACATAGGCGAAAATATCCGCCTCATGTAAACGTCGAACACACACTCGGGCGTGCATGAGCTGGTTAGGAAGCATTTTTAAGGGAGTTAGGAGGGAAATTTGAATGTAGGGATTGTTTAGGGATTTTCTTTTGATTTGTATGCATCAAATAGTTTGCTTTCCTAGAGTTCGGGCATCTTGAATTTGGTTGAAATTTGAGATCTCTTAGGTTTAGGTTTTTTGGCTCAAGCGGCGTCTAGAGAATTGGGAGAGATTGATCCTCCTCTCGAATTGAGGATTAACTGTATTGTTGACCTGATAAACAAAAAATAAATAAATAATAAAAAAGAAATCAAATCGTGTACCTGTTCGGCGCCATACCTTCGCATGTCGTTGGCACGTCGACGTCCCTTCTCCCACGACCTCGCACGACCAGATGTCCCTCTCTCTATCGCGTTAAATACAGAATAAACGAGAGAGCTCGGCTCCCTGGCTCTTCCGCCCCAATCTCTTTCGCTCTCTGATCCCCGCTCCCATTCTCTCGCTCGACCACGCTCTGACGACGACGTTCCCTTATAGTCGATCGGAAGTGACGACACCTTGGATCGGAAACAACCGCAAGAGCACACTGGCTTTGGAGCTTCGATGACTTGCCCTTCCAGTCGGATCGGACGTTACGACATTTCAATCGGAAGTAAGAACGGGAGTTGCTTGCTGTGGAGGAGACTTTCTCCCTCATGATCGCTTCTTCGGCTCCTTGCTGTGCAACTTCGTTCCTTCTCCGACTTCCCTTCCCGTCGGGATCGGAAGCTACGACATTTTTGATCGGACGGAATAACGGGAGCTCGCTGCCTCCCTCGCTGCTGTTCGACCTCACTCCTTCGACGACTTGACCACCCAGTTGGGTCGGAAGTCTCGGCATTGATCGGAAGCAACAACGTGAGCTTCGGGAGTGAAGGTAACTTTCTCCCTTGTCACGCGCTTGCTCGGCCAAATCCCGTGTATCCGCCAAATCAGAGAGAGGGGAGAGGGAGGAATTACTTGTTTTAATATTCTTAATTAACTAATATTAATTATAATTAATTTAATAATTATTTTTATTATAGTTAGTTATTAATTATATTAATTATAATTAATTATAATTAAATATTATTAGTTATTTTTAATTATATTTAATTATTAATTATTATTGATTATAATTAGGCATAACTAATTATAATTAAATAGTTAATTATAGTTAATTTTAACTAATTGTTTAATTATTTTCTATACGCGCTCTCGTAGCACGGTGGGAGGAAACTCGGTGCGACGCCAGCAACGAGGCGGGTAATCATCTAAAACTCAGATTCTCGTTCTCGTCGTATGCAACGGACCGGCAAACCCTCTATACGCGCTCTCGTAGCACGGTGGGAGGAAACCCAGTGAGGTGCCTACGATGAGGCGGGTAATCGCCTAAAATCCCATTTTCGACGTTTGCAGCGGGCCGGGGAACCACCTATACGCGCTCTCGTAACACGGTAGGAGGGAGCCCGGTGTGACGCATACGACGAAGTGGGTAAGCCCTATACACGCTCTTGTAGCGTGGTGGGGAGATTCACTTGTGCTCGCCTACGGATACTGTTGAAGGCCCCATACACGCTCTAGTAGCGTGGTGGAATGAAAAATGTACGGCCCGATGTCCCCTGACACCTACCATACACGCTCGAGTAGCATGGTGGGATGGCCCAGCCTCTCGGATTTTCCCCTGAACGAGGGAGATGCCGGGAGGCTGCCGAAATTTCGAGTGAATACACGACTCTACTTGGACCTGTTTTGAACTCAAAAGAACAAAAGATGGACTCCAATGAACAATAACTTGTCGACTTCTGAACTTGATTGAACACAAGCAGAGGACCTGAACAAAACCTAAATGATTTATAAAGCTCAAACCCAAATGAAATGAAATCAAATTGGAGCTGAATTCAAATCAATTTGAGCATATAATTGAACTTACAAGGGCTTCAGAAGACCCTGAACAAGTACTTGAACATGCACTTTGAACTCAAACCGGGTTGAATACAAGAATCTGTGAGCTTGAATACTAGGACTTGATCCGGATCAAGTATAGCAGATATGAACTCGAATGAAACTTACAAAATTCAGATTTGAATTTGCAGACCAAACTGGATCTAACCTCAACAAGAATCAATAAATTCTAATTTGGATCAAGTGTTGAGCATCAATACACAAACGAAAGAGTTGTGGTGGACAATATTTCAAAGGAATTATTCACATGCAAACAAGGGACTCGTAGCAAAAGGTCTTCGTACGAATCTAATCGTCATTTGATTGCAAACAACATCAAACTTTCTGCAAACAAGAGAAGCTGGTGGGTGATGAATACAATGCGATGCCTACGGATGATGACGATTGATGTAATCTACACATAATCAATGTCACCAAATTCCAATCAACAGTGACCTAACTTCGAGAAAACACATCATCCCAATGTATTGAGAAGTGATAATGCAAATGTATCACAAATATGGTAGTTATCCTACAAACATATGTAGGGAGACTACACCAACACTAGCAACAACGCCTGTTGATTGAAGAAGGCGACGTTGGAGATCAAAAGTGGAGGATCCGTCCTTACAAATAAATGCGATCAACAAACCACCTGAGATTGGTGAAAGGTGGGTATGATGTTGGCAACAATGGCTCTTCTGCGAACACTTCCAAGAGGTCATAGTGGATATAACGAGTCCCTGCAAATGAATACGAGCCGCTTGTAGATAACAACAGTGAGTGTATCGTAAGTACAACGAACCACTGTGGACACAAGTATGGATATCACCTACGACAATGGTGATTAAGATCTTCAAGTATGTCGGGTACAAGGGTAATTCGATGTACGAAAAAGGACACCTCTTGGCAGAATGGAAGGGATGCTTGAACAAAATAGAGCTAAACTTCCTGGTGTTCCAAAGTCTCTTCTTAATCCAATACTTAACAAGAAAATAATTCAGGTGTCCACAAACACCGAAAATAACAAGTCTACTACATTGATGATCCTGAAAAGAGTTCCTTTCAAGGCAGCAGTCACTGATTTCAAAGTCCAGAAGAACCCTCCCCGGTGAATGAAAAAAGGGGAGTCAACATCAAAATGATGAGATGCCTCATGACATCTCAATAATATCGCCACCGGATCCACAGCACTCGTATTAGCGGACATAAGGCGTGTATAAGCTCTCAAATGACATGTTGTGCATTCAAAGGGCAATTACTTGTACAACTAAAATATTTCAAAATATGATGTAGACAAAGGGGGGGTCAACTCATGTCCAAAATAATACGAATTTTGGCTTCCCTTGAGTCTACTATTTGAGCTGAAATTTTAGCTCATTTATGAGCTGGACTTTAGTTCATTTATTGAACTAAGGATTAGCTCATTATTAGCTAACATTTTAGTTCATTTATTATCTTACTTTTTATTAAATGTTATTTAGGATTTTAAAGTCTTCTTTTATGATGTCTCTTGGGATTCCAAAAAGGACTTTTGGAATTCCAAGTTAGGTGTTTTGTATTCCCATGCATGACTCCTTGGTTTCCTCCATGGTTTCATTGCATTTGCCCCCTTGGATTCCGACCGGCTGCTGGTTTCCCGTGCTTGTGCTCTTTCCGTGGCCGTGCCCCCTTGGTTCCCACTTGGCCTCCTTGGCTCCCGCGGCTACCTCTTTGGTTTCTTGGCTTGGGATTTATTTTTAAGTGTTTTAATATTGTGATGTTTAGGTTCTTGTGTTAGTTAATGTAATGTGTCTCTTTGTATCCCCATTCATACCTATATATATGGGGGATTGTTTATGTTTGAAAGTAAGTTGAATGATAAGTTATTTTTGGAAGCTTTAACCTGCGGGTTTGCTTTGGAAATCCTGCGGGCTCTTTCCACCCTTCTTTCTCATCCCCTCCGGAAATCCTGCGGGCACTTTCCAACCTTTCTTCTCTGGCTTCTAACCTTTTTCATCTCTCCGCAAGTGCCACTCCACCTGTATCTTTCTTCCAAGTGCAGCAACTTTAGAGTGTCGTTTTATTTTATTTGGAGTCGTTTATAAGAGTTTAAGTTATTGAAATCATCGTTTGTAGTTTTAATTTCCATTCCTTAGTCTTAATTAAGTTACCTCTTCCTTTTGAGGTATTTTGTGTCTTCTTTAATTTAGAAGTCCTGCTTTCTTTTTGTGATCAAAAAATATAGGCTCCCTATATTTTTTTATTACACATTTTGGTATCAGAGCAAGTTAGGAAGTCCTAGGTTTGTGGTTTGTCAAATTTGTTTTAATTGTCAAGTCTAAGTTTGTCAAGTTTGTCAAAGCGTTTATTTGTGAGTCTAAGTTGAGGTTGAGTCTTTCTGTTAGTCTTGTAATTTTTGAGTCTGTTAAAAAATGGAAAATATCAAAAAT